AGATTGTGTTGACCAGGACCACACCCCTAAATGCATTGAAGCAACTGCCATGTGATTGGTTGATTAGATAATTGCATTAATGAAAAATTGAACAGGTGTTCCTAATAAAGTGTATGTCATGGGCCTTTTAATTGGTTTGTTTGCAATTTCGCCAGGTAGGCTACCTTCTTTAAACTGCGTTTTGTTAGACTACATATTTCGGGATGTTTTATTGTAGTCTTTGTAAATATGTATATAGTTTAGCCTAATCCAGCCACTTATGGGAGCAAGCCAGCTCAACACCGGTCCCAAACCCAGATTAATGGGGAGGGTTCCCGGCAGAATTTGGATTTGACCTCCCAGCCTTTAAACAAAGCTACTGATTGAGCTACTCTGCCAATTATTTTCTAAAAAACTCATAGGCTTTGCAAAATCAGCAATTTGGAGAAACAGAAAAATCTACACACAATATCATCAAGAGTAGGAAAGTGCTGTCGTGTTTTTGTAATCTGCCCCAACGGTCCCTGATTGAGTTTCCATGCAATTAGTAAAACTCCCAAACATCGAGATGTGTGTCCGGAGTTCCTTTCAACGGCTTTGCAGACAAACATGGCTCCTTAGGAAGGAAGTTCCCCAGGAGCCGTCAAGTACAAAGATGGTCGAGTGATGGGAAAAGGGAAGTGGCCTCCCCTCTAGTTTCCGTGGTGACGGTGCTGTTTATCACTCAGTAATATCTTGCAGATTCGAGGAACCCTGGTGGAGGGCGATATGTACCTAACACTAAAGCTGGCATGTGTGCCGAATAGCCAGATCACTGCCGTGAAGCCCCCCTTCACATCTGGGTCATACTGAGTCTTTTTCGAGGTCCAGTTCCAGGTTCCAATTCTGCAAAGCTTATGCTATGATACCGTCATCATAGACTTCAGGAAACAGGCCCTCAGTTCCAAACAAGCACACACTGGTCTGAATGTGCAGAGGAGAGAGGAAATATTTCACCTCATTGCCCCAGTGGCAAATTGACCTTCACTGCAGATTGCACTCTGCATTTTCAGCGGCCGTGGTGGAGCTCATCATAAATTTAGGTCGTAAAAAACAGATGCAGAACTGGGATGTCGAGAACCTTCCGGATTCCTGTCTGGCCGGGCTCCATCCATTCTGTTCTCGGTTCAGCTCAAGGTGCGAGTTCATTTTGTGGGCCATCCTTTGAGATGTATGTCAGAGAAGGGGTGGATACTGAAGGGGTGCTTACTCACCCAAGCATTTTGCACAAGTTTAAAAATGACAGATATCCCCAGTTTGAGTTCTGCATGTGTGCTCCGTTGCTCACGGTGTTCCTGGTCACGGCACCAGTGCATGTTTTTCTGCAGCTTCATTGCATGCCAGCCTGTCACAGGCACTAAACACGGCCCACCGCCGGCCTGCTGTCCAGGCTGACCTGCTGCTAAATGTCATTCTATCATTTTAACTCTGCCTGTGCTACTTGCCATCTTGTCACGTGACACTCAATTTCCTTGCTTCTAAAATTTGCTAATTAATTTGTCTGTCTGGCCAGATTTTATAACTTGGATAGTTTGACTCTCCAGTGGGACGGAATATTCCGCATTCCCCACCTCCCCCCGGCGTCGGCGTGACGCTGAATTGGTTGCCGTCCAGCTAATGCGGTCATCGCTGGAACAAAACTGAAGATGCGTAAGTGTGGTGATGGCAGTGAGGGCGTTGTGACAACGTGGCCTCCTGTCATGTTCAGAGAGAGCAAGATGGCCAAGCTAGTCTGCCAGCGTAACTTTGTGGGAGATATGCTTTCTGGCCTAATGTCAGGGGTAAAGCTTTTGCCTGCTATAAAAAGGATAATAATAAAAATAAACAAAATTGTTAAAGGTTACATTAGCTCCCATAAATATAATGTCAATTCTTGATATGTTTTGTTTACATATTTATTACTGTTATTTTCTTATTCGATTCATTTTCATGAATATTGATTTGATTCGTATTAATGCTAATTAGGAACTGCATCACATTGTGTAGGTTTTAAGTGCTGCAGTGTTTCTGCCAGGAAGACATGAAACGGAGACGCTTTGCATACAGGTGAGTGAGAAATAAGGTTTTACAAAATGAAAAATGTAAGGTGATGCAACTATACAATTTTACAATAATTTTTTTTCCAAGTCATTATCTTCATAAAGTAACCAATTAAGTGTCTGCGATGCATCAGGCATTAATTTTTACTGGTTTTTCACATTCATTAGTTGTCATATTAATTGCAGTTTCGC